TATGGGGTTTTATTGGCCCCCCAAACTGCAAATGTAAATGAGCCCTCACTGTCGTGAGCCCCCAATAGGGCTGCTATCACACTGATATTTACCCCCACCACAAGTGCAGTGCACCTGCAGGTTAGCTGCGCTTTGCCATAGATTTCTATCATATCTTTTTAGTTTGCAGTTGAGGAACACAGGTTGGGCACCCCAGGTCTAGGGTTCCTATTGGGTTTTTTTTATTTTGAACAATGAACTTGGATAAGGAGAATGGGATACCCAGATAAACCACAAAACTGGAAAGCTTGAGGACTCATCAACTTCTGACTGTGCTGCACAAAAATGAGTGTCCCAAAGGATCTCTGTGCTGTTGGTGACCTGTACTCCTTCAAGAGTTAAAAGCTACACACAGTCACTACCAGGCCCTTCCCAGTGAGGAAGATGCAGACTCACACTCCCATAGGACAGCTGGGCTCTTTCCCACCAACTTCCTCCTGGTTCTCTCTCCAGTGAGCTTCTCCAGACCTGACATGATCCCCAAACACGGATTTGCAAATGGGCTCCCCAGCCAAGCCAAGTTGGGACCTCTGTGTCTTAAGACTTCCTCTAGGATCCTGAAACATAGGCAGCGCCCCTGCACAGGGGTTTCCACATGCAGGACTGGACCCAAGAACAATGCATTCTGTTGTCCAGGCCTCAGACTTTTTATGGGTTCTCTCTCACTGCCTACTGGGCACACCTTTCCAAGAATTGGCTGGAGTCCCATAAATATTCAGGCTGCACGCTCCATTCTTCCTCCACTATGTTTCTAGAATCGTTTAGAAGATGGGAAAGTAACAGCAGAAGCCTGTGAACAACTAAGCAGCCCTAAATAAACCACCCCTGCTCCTCTGATTCCACTGGAGAAAAACAAAATGTAACTAGTAGCCTACTCTATACTGGAAGGGTGCTATACATTCTTCAAAGGATAGGTAAACAAAAATTAAGACTGTGTCTACAGGACAGGACTTCAAGCTAAATCTCTTAAAGTTGATGGAAATTAAAAAAAAAAAAAAGTTTCATCTTTAGGTGTACTGTAATCACACCTGTCAAAAAAAGTTATTTTATTCACTTTGGTTTCTTTACTGTAATGGTGTGTTCAGCACAGCTGTATCTCTTGTTGGGGGTTATTTACTAAAACTGGAGAGTGCAAAATCTGGTGCAGCACTTTGCAGAATCCAATCAGCTCCCAGGTTTTATTGTCAAGGCTTAAAGTGTTACTAAACCCAGGACCCTGCATCCACTAGATCTGGTCCACTAGATCTGGTCCCCCACAGTACACAGAACATGGAAGTGCAATTAGTAAATATAAACTGCTAAATACCTATTTCTCAACAGCAGTTAGTGTAGTCTTGTGGCTTGTATCTGTATCCAGCCCAGCACTAGCTAAAGCTTGTAGGAGTTTTCTTTCTGCTCTAGAATACAAATTTCCTGACCCCTGTCTGGACAGTGCTGATTGGCCCTGTGCTGATCACATGCACTTTCCCAAGGAAAAAAAAAACCTCTTTAGCAATACCCACCAATCTGAGCATGTGCATGCCTAGGGTTCAGTCTGGAGATAAGTTATGGTCACTTGAAAAAGGGGAGGAACAGAGAAGAAAGGATCAAACAGCCTTTTTACACAATGCAGAGGATTAACCCCTTAGGTTCCACAGTGAGTATAACAAGCGTGCTTTACTGCATATACAGACTGATTTTACTGTTGTGGGTTTAGTAACACTTTAAACGCTTTAGTACCATTGTATATATTACGTAGTCTTGTAATGAAACTGTTATACCGGAATCATGTTTGAGGCTACATCAATAATCCTGATATTTTGTAGCCCCAGCGATTCCCTTTTATGTAAGAGTAGTTCAAGCAGCTATGCAGCCCGTAGATTATGTTTCAGGTGGCGGAAGGGGCTCCCATCCCCCTCCTGCCACTGCCTTTACCAGGCTCTCCCATGTGATTGGAGACCCCAGTAAAGATGTGACCGGTAGCACTGGCTCCCTGGACACAGTGGGAGGAACCAATGTTGTTCTTCCTACTGTGTGATAGAAACTGGAAATAAGGAGGATTTAGTCACTTCTGGTTTCAGTTCTGTGTTTAATGGCCAATTACCAGCCAGTGAAGACTGATCTGTGTCTGGTCGGCTGAATTGGAGTTCAGAGGATATCTGGGGTCTAATGGACCACAGATCTCTCCATAAAGAATGCCTGTTACTGCATATTGCTGTCACAATGGATGTTTACATTCCTTGTGACAGAAATAAAAGTGATTAAAAAAACATTAAAGGAACAGTGTAAAAAACAAATAATAAAATTTAATAAAATGAAAATCGCCCGTCTGCCCTCGCAAAGGTGAATGCACCGTTGGTTCTGCACGCATACATAAATAGCAATTGCACCACACATGTGAAGTATTGGCGTAAACGTTAAAGCGAGAGCAATAATTTTAGCCCCAGAAATCATGTGTAACTCTAAATTGGTAACCTGTAAAAGTTTTAAAGCATCGCCTATGGATAATTACAAAGTACCATGGTTTATTGCTATTCCATGGGCATGCGCAGGTTTTGGACCACTTCACACCAGTGCATTGATCTGCGCTTTAGCAGATCAACTGAAAGACATGTGAAAAACAATCATTTCCAATGTGTCCTACCCAACACCATAATGCTGTGTTGACCTGTGTTGTGTTAAAATGCAACGTGTATGCATTGTAATGCAACGGATGTAAGCAGATGTCAACGCAATGCACAGGATATGCAAAAATGCAGTACGCTAACGTGTGCTAAAATGCAAGTCAACGGACATCAAAATGTATGTCAACGAATGTCAGCGCGCGAATAAAATTGATGGAAATGTACATCCATTTTCCATACATTTTATTGCAAGTCAGTGTGAATTGGCCCTTAAAGCATGCAACATGTTTGGTAACTCTTTACTCGGCATAACATCAGCTTTCACATTTTCCAAAAAAATGTGGTATTATATCAAGTTTGTCTTCACTAAAATGTATTAAAGAAGTTCACCTTGTGGATAAAAATAATTAAATGAAAATTTTTTTTTTCATGTAAAATAATGTGCATTTATTATTTTTGTCCAAAGAAGCCTGGAAAGCATTGCACCAGTGATCAGTAGATCACTGATGCCATGCAGGTCTCCTGCAGGCCTGTCAGAATATCTGCTTGCTGTACAGAATGTATGGTTAAAGCGGAGTTCCACTCACTCTGTAAAAAAAATAAGTCAGCAGCTACAAAAAGTGTAGCTGCTGACTTTTAAAAAAACAGCCACTCACCTGTCCCACGATCCCGCGGTGTCCCCGCCGCAGCCCATTTCACCGGCCGTCCTGTATTCCAGGCGCCGGCATCTTCAGTGTGGGCAGCCGGCTGTGACAGCTTGTGGCTTCACAGCCAGGTGCCCACTGCGCATGTGCGAGAAGCGCTGCGCTTTCTGAATAGCCCAGTCGCCTCCTGGACCTGTCACATGTCCGACAAGACTTCAGAGAGGGAGGGTAGGAGGACAACTTGTTTCCGATTGCTTAGGCGATCACAGCGGAAGTGGGAGCGGGTACCTGTCAGATTCAGGTACCCGTCCTGCTCCCCAAAGGTGCCAATCCATAATGGGGAGCGGGGGGGACCAATCTTTAAAGCGGAACTTCCCCTTTTAGGTGGTACTCCGCTTTAAGCAGACATTCTGACAGGAACATTCAATGAACTATCACAGCACCGGGGTAGTTCATTGAAGACTGCAAACCCACAGCCGCTAAGGCTGCCAGGACTTGAAGACACTCTGTAAATGAGTGATGCGGCCCAGTGGGCGGAGCCCCGCACGGCTGCGCTGTTTTCACATCTGATAGTACAGGGAGACTTCTCCCCATACTATCTCTCAGAGGGAGGGGGAAAGGTAATGGTGGGCGTGGCTACGGAACATATAACATGTTCTAAAGGTGAACTTACCCTTTAAAGTGTATTTTTCCCAAACAAAATTGTTTGAGAAACCACTGCGCAACTACCGTGTCACAGAAACCAATTGCAACACCCATCATTTTATTATCTAGGGTCTTTGCTTAAAATATATATATAATGTTTTGGGAGCCAAGTCATTTTCTAGCAAAAAATTATTTTTACATGTAGGAGACCCATGTCAGCATTGGGCAGGTAAGCAAATGGTTAATTGAACACATTGACGTTGGAATCTGATTGGCTAACAAGCACGCGCATTCCAGTTTAGTAAATCTCCCCCAGTGACTCAGTAACAGGATGAAGATAAAAGGGCGCCAAAATGGAGCTATGCCCCCAGAGGTCAATGTCACGTGACACCCCATCAGTTTCCACTAACAAGTGCTTCCCTTTGGCTCTCTAATCATTGGTCATGCATCTCTGGGTGGTCCACTAAGATATTACCCCGCCCGCACTGAGCTCTGCTCCCTGAATACACATGGGTGACACCAGAGTGTCCCTCTCCTCCCAGCTCAGGCCCCATCCCTCGCGTTCCTCTCCCGCCGCCAGACGCGCTCTTCAGCCACACCCCTGTCTGCTCCCTCACCTCCATGGCAACCCCAACCCCTCCCCTTACCCCCTCCCTGACGTCAACGCAGAAGCCTTCGCCAGCTACATAGAAATGTATAACGGCGTCAAATGTGCCTGACGATTGGCCACTTTTCCGCCCAATCTTTGCGCTATTGGCTCTCGGCTCTGTCAGTCTCCCGGGACGTCACGGTCGGAGCAACGCAAGCAGGTTAGGTTGCGCCTGCTGTATGTGTGAATGGGCGTGATCGAAGCCGCGGCCTCCGTCACGTGATCGCGGTTGTTAATGTTTACATTCGAGACGGGTGAGGGGGGGAATCCTGTGCCAGGCGGGGGCCCGTTTCGCTTTCATTTCCCGGGAGGAGGTGGAGGAGGGGTCGGCCGGCGGGCCTCATGCTGCGCTCGAGCCGCTGACGAGGGAGACAGAGGCCTGCAGAGACCGCCTTAGCCGCTGCCATCGCGCCGAGCAACATGGAGGAGCTGGTGGTGGAGGTGCGGGGCTCCAATGGAGCCTTCTACAAGGTGAGGCCTCATGCGTCCACCTCGGCCCAACATAGACCTGTAGGTAAGCCGCGGCAGCGCCGGGGGTACTACAAGTGCCAGCATGCTCTGCATGGGTCTGTGTGCAAAGCCTCGCTGGCATTTGTAGTTCTCTAGCAGCTGGAGAGCCCCAGGTACCCCAAACGTAGACCGGTGAATGAGAGTGAGGCCGGGCCTACATGTACACATAATGACTTGCAAACTTCCCCTCCCTCCATTCATACTTCATTCCACCCCTGTCTGCACACACAGCAGCAGCATCACTGCCATCTTCTTCACCTGTCCTGACTGCACGACCTGGGTATCCTCATCCCCATCCTCCTCATGTCTGATCCCCATCTCTGATTCTCCCCATCCTCCTCATGTCTGATCCCCATCTCCGATTCTCCCCATCCTCCTCATGTCTGATCCCCATCTCTGATTCTCCCCATCCTCCTCATGTCTGATCCCCATCTCCGATTCTCCCCATCCTCCTCATGTCTGATCCCCATCTCCGATTCTCCCCATCCTCCTCATGTCTGATCCCCATCTCTGATTCTCCCCATCCTCCTCATGTCTGATCCCCATCTCCGATTCTCCCCATCCTCCTCATGTCTGATCCCCATCTCCTCATTCTCCCCATCCTCCTCATGTCTGATCCCCATCTCCGATTCTCCCCATCCTCCTCATGTCTGATCCCCACTCCGATTCTCCCCATCCTCCTCATGTCTGATCCCCATCTCTGATTCTCCCCATCCTCCTCATGTCTGATCCCCATCTCCGATTCTCCCCATCCTCCTCATGTCTGATCCCCACCTCTGATTCCCCATCCTCCTCATGTCTGATCCCCATCCTCTGATTCTAATCCCCATCCTCCTCATGTCTGATCCCCACCTCTGATTCTCCCCATCCTCCTCATGTCTGATCCCCACCTCTGATTCTCCCCATCCTCCTCATGTCTATCCCCATCCTCCTCATGTCTAATCCCCATCCTCCTCATGTCTGATCCCCACCTCTGATTCTCCCCATCCTCCTCATGTCTGATCCCCACCTCTGATTCTCCCCATCCTCCTCATGTCTGATCCCCACCTCTGATTCTCCCCATCCTCCTCATGTCTGATCCCCACCTCTGATTCTCCCCATCCTCCTCATGTCTGATCCCCACCTCTGATTCTCCCCATCCTCCTCATGTCTGATCCCCACCTCTGATTCTCCCCATCCTCCTCATGTCTGATCCCCACCTCTGATTCTCCCCATCCTCCTCATGTCTGATCCCCACCTCTGATTCTCCCCATCCTCCTCATGTCTGATCCCACCTCTGATTCTCCCCAACCTCCTCATGTCTGATCCCCACCTCTGATTCTCCCCATCCTCTCCATCTCTTGATTCTCCCCATCATGATCCTCCTCATCTCTGTTCTCCATCTCTGATTCTTCTTATCTCTGATCTTCTGCATCTTCCCCATCTCTGATTTCCCCCCCATGCTTCACCCACCCCATCCTCCTCATCCCTGATTCTTCCCCCCCCCCCCCCCCTCCCTGATTCTCCTTCCCCCCATCCCTGATTCTCCCCATCTTTGATTCCCTGATTCTCCCCATCTTTGATTCCCTGATTCTCCCCATCTTTGATTCCCTCCCCCATCTTTGATTCCCTGATTCTCCCATCTTTGATTCCCTGATTCTCCCCATCTTTGATTCCCTGATTCTCCCCATCTTTGATTCCCCGATTCTCCCCCATCTTTGATTCCCTGATTCTCCCCATCTTTGATTCCCTGATTCTCCCCATCTTTGATTCCCCGATTCTCCCCATCTTTGATTCCCTGATTCTCCCCATCTTTGATTCCCCTGATTCTCCCCATCTTTGATTCCCCGATTTTCCCCATCTTTGATTCCCCCCGATTCTCCCCATCTTTGATTCCCCGATTCTCCCCATCTTTGATTCCCCGATTCTCCCCATCTTTGATTCCCCCATCTTTGATTCTCCCCCATCTTTGATTCCCCGATTCTCCCCATCTTTGATTCTCCCCATCCTTGATTCCCCTGATTCTCCCCATCCTTGATTCTCTGATTCTCCCCATCCTTGATTCTCTGATTCTCCCCATCCTTGATTCTCTGATTCTCCCTATCCTCCTGATTCTCTGATTCTCCCTATCCTTGATTCTCTGATTCTCCCTATCCTCCTCATTCTCTGATTCTCCCTATCCTCCTCATCTCTGATTCTCCCTATCCTCCTCATCTCTGATTCTCCCTATCCTCCCCATCTCTGATTCTCTCCAGCCTCCCCATCTCTGATTCTCTCCAGCCTCCCCATCTCTGATTCTCTCCAGCCTCCCCATCTCTGATTCTCTCCAGCCTCCCCATCTCTGATTCTCTCCAGCCTCCCCATCTCTGATTCTCTCCAGCCTCCCCATCTCTGATTCTCTCCAGCCTCCCCATCTCTGATTCTCTCCAGCCTCCCCATCTCTGATTCTCTCCAGCCTCCCCATCTCTGATTCTCTCCAGCCTCCCCATCTCTGATTCTCTCCAGCCTCCCCATCTCTGATTCTCTCCAGCCTCCCCATCTCTGATTCTCTCCAGCCTCCCCATCTCTGATTCTCTCCAGCCTCCCCATCTCTGATTCTCTCCCCTCCCCATCTCTGATTCTCTCCTCATCCTCCCCATCTCTGATTCTCTCCAGCCTCCCCATCTCTGATTCTCCCAGCCTCCCCATCTCTGATTCTCTCCCAGCCTCCCCATCTCTGATTCTCTCCAGCCTCCCCATCTCTGATTCTCCCCAGCCTCCCCATCTCTGATTCTCCCAGCCTCCCCATCTCTCCCAGCATCATCCTCCCATCTCTGATTCTCCCCAGCCTCCCCATCCCTGATTCTCCTCCCTGATTCCTCCCCATCCTCTGATTCTCCCCATCCTCCCCATCTCTGATTCTCCCCATCCTCCCCATCCCGGATCTGATTCTCCCCAGCCTCCCCACCTCTGATTCTCCCCAGCCTCCCCACCTCTGATTCTCCCCAGCCTCCCCACCCTGATTCTCCCCAGCCTCCCCACCTTCTCCCCATCCTCCTCATCCCGGATTCTCCCCATCCTCCTCATCACCTCTGATTCTCCCCAGCCTCCCCATCCCTGATTCTCCCATCCTCCTCATCCCAGATTCTCCCCATCCTCCTCCCATCCCTGATTCTCCCCATCCTCCTCATCCCTGATTCTCCCCATCCTCCTCATCCCTGATTCTCCCCATCCTCCTCATCCCTCCCCATCCTCCTCATCCCGATTCTCCCCATCCTCCTCATCCCGATTCTCCCCATCCTCCTCATCCCGGATTCTCCCCATCCTCCTCATCCCGGATTCTCCCCATCCTCCTCATCCCGGATTCTCCCCATCCTCCTCATCCCGGATTCTCCCCTCATCCCGGATTCCCCCATCCTCATCCCGGATTCTCCCCATCCTCCTCATCCCGGATTCTCCCCATCCTCCTCATCCCGGATTCTCCCCATCCTCCTCATCCCGGATTCTCCCCATCCTCCTCATCCCGGATTCTCCCCATCCTCCTCATCCCGGATTCTCCCCATCCTCCTCATCCCGGATTCTCCCCATCCTCCTCATCCCGGATTCTCCCCATCCTCCTCATCCCGGATTCTCCCCATCCTCCTCATCCCGGATTCTCCCCATTCCTCATCCCATTCTCCCCATCCTGATCCCGGATTCTCCCCATCCTCCGCATCCCTGATTCTCCCCATCCTCCATATCCCTGATTCTCCCCATCCTCCCCATCTCTGATTCTCCCCAGCCTCCCCATCTCTGATTCTCCCCAGCCTCCCCATCCCTGATTCTCCCCATCCTCCTCATCCCTGATTCTCCCCATCCTCCTCATCCCTGATTCTCCCCATCCTCCTCATCCCTGATTCTCCCCAGCCTCCCCATCTCTGATTCTCCCCAGCCTCCCCATCTCTCATCCTTCCCATCTCTGATTCTCCCCTCTGATCCTCCTCCCCATCATCTCTGATTCTCCTCATCCTCCCCATATCCCTGATTCTCCCCATCCTCCATATCCCTGATTCTCCCCAGCCTCCCTATCCCCATCTCTGATTCTCCCCATCCTCCCCATCTCTGATTCTCCTCATCCCAGCCTCCCCATCTCTGATTCTCCCCAGCCTCCCCATCTCTGATTCTCCCCAGCCTCCCCATCTCTGATTCTCCCCAGCCTCCCCATCTCTGATTCTCCCCAGCCTCCCCATCTCTCATCCTTCCCATCCTCCCCATCTCTCATCCTTCCCATCTCTGATTCTCCCCATCCTCCGCATCCCTGATTCTCCTCATCCTCCGCATCCCTGATTCTCCCCAGCCTCCCCATCTCTGATTCTCCCCAGCCTTCTGCAACCTCCCCACATCTAACCCCTATCCTGCCCATGTCTAATAACCATCCTCCTCCTCACTAGCAGAAATACTATCTTACACCTGTCCTAGCAATTAGGAATACAGACCTGAGCATCATTCCCATCTCTCCCGATCCACACCAGCAGCAGTGCCATCTTCGACCTTTCCTGCATGGTGGGGAGATAGACCTGGGCATCATCTTGATTTCTTGTCCTTTTCCACATCCATAGAAGTGCCATCTTCCAGCGGTCCTGCCTTCCAGGGATAGTCACCTGAGCATCCTCTTTCTCCCATCTACAGTAGCAGTGCCAACGTCCATTTGTTCTTCCTGGCAGAGAGACAGACTGGACTTCAGCCCCATAATCCTAATTAACAGCAGCAGTTCAATCTTCACCTGTCCTGTCTGCCAGGGAGCAACACTTGGTCATTCTCCCTATCTCGGACCCCCCCCCCTTTCTGGTCCTGCTGTGTTTAATGTCACCACCTCAATCCTCATCTAATATGAACACTACCCTTTTTAGGATGTACACACAAACTATGTCATGTCCATGTAGGGCAGGGCATTATTGCCTTGGGTTATGTACACACTGAATACTACTACTACTAAGTTTTTTTGTATTACGTTTGGAGAACTG